GACAAGATACAACCATTGTTAACCTTTCTAACCAAAAGACAGTCTCTAGAATTGAGAAGTGAAAAGTTCAGCAGGTCTCCTCTGATACTCCTCTCAACTAGTTATAGCAGAAAGGGCACCTGGGATGGGCCAGCCACGTCTGCACACAGGCCACAGCAGCCTGCATATCTGGTTATCTCCCCAAATACTGTATACTAAAACTAAAAGCCACACTTTGTACACCCTTTAGGCCCCCTGTAGCACACTTAACAATGCCTTCCACTAAGTGTGCTTCCATAAATGTGTGTTAGACTTTCTGGGTTTGTGTACATTTCATTCCTTTTCCCTTGGGGAAAGTTGCTCTTTTCCAAGAAAGAAAAGCAAGAATAAGCTGAACACAGGAAATAATATGAAATAGGCTTCACAAGAACACTTCAGAATATTCCCACTGGCAGCCCCAAATCTTGCTTATCTTTGTTAGCTGGCACTGTAAAAGATGTTTCTCTAATATTTTAGTAAGGGCCTCTCTTCATTTCTTCACAGCCTAGGGAGTACACAGAAAAAAAAAAAAAAAAAAGGAGAATGAGTTCAGAGAAGCCCTTAGGGAGCCAATAAGAAGACAGTGCTGTTGGGCTCTAAGCTGTTTCCAACCTGGGAATCCCGGATGTGCCAGACGTGGGGAGCAGGTCGGGGGTAGGAAAGGGTCGTGGGATTGGGTCTAGAAGGGAACACACAAGACAGCCTGGTCAGCATCAAATAAGTCTTCAAGATTTATCTCTAGAGCTCAGTTATATTTTGGGAGATTTTCAAGGGGTGTGATTATGTCTTGATTTACTTTCTTGTCTATGGAAGACATAGTGTCAGGCTTGGATTCATGTTTAATCAATATTATGATCTGGCACCCTTATTGCTATAACATATCAGGAAATGAACTTAGCAATGCACCTTATTTTTCCAGACACAGAAATCTGAACATAAATCTTGCCTGGATGAAAAGAAGACTCCAAAATTTTGACTTACACTGATATCTGTGTTATATGCAATTGTGAAACTAGCCTTGATTTTGCAGGTTTCAGTGGCTTAGTTGGCTTTTAATGTACACATTCCCATAAACATGCTTCAACTCTGTTCGCCCTGCATGCATAAACGATTATTACCATCAGCATTCTGATATGGTATATACCAGTTCTATCTTACCAGTTGTACACAGAAAATTATTATAGCTTAAACTGAAAACCCAGTCTTTAATGAATAACTCAAAAAAACAATTCTTTTCTAACTAGGCAAGATGCTAGAAATACAATGGCAAGCAATAGACATGGCACAAATTTCAAGGAGCTAGAAGATCTTTTTAATTCAAATAGAACAACAATGTATATGGTAGTTTTGTATTGTCCTAAGTTAGCCGAGTTGAACTTCATTTCCCAGAATTCCTTTCCCTGTAGTACTCCCTTTAGGGTTGGTCACAAGAGATATCTGATGAGTTTTGGAAGGCATAAGTGAAACTGCAGCCTGACTGGTATGTTGTTGGGCACCAAGTAGTGTTGCAGCTTGCACACGATGTCACTAACTGGCTGGATCACCATATTGGCAAGGGGTAGTGCCTGGCTTGATGCTGCTTCAGATCCTGCCACATCTCCTTCAGTTTCTCCAATTCTTGGGCCAGGTGCATGCACAACTCCTTCTGCAAGTCACCCATGTCCATGATGTTGGAGGCAGTGTTAGACGGACCTCAGTTCCAGTTTGTCCTTGTTCTCCCCCATTTTACATCCAGTTTTTCCACTGTGGAGTCTGCTGACCTACAGTGACTTCAGGGCCTCACAGAATTCAAGGTGACAGCCTTACATAGACCACAGCAACCCTACACACTTGTGTAAGATCTAATTCCTATAATAAATATCTTACTCTATCTCTCATGGTGGTTCTGCTTCCCTGGTTGAACCCTGAACCCTGAGAGATCAGTTACCTATATTTTACAAGCAAATAGGCTTTGAGGACAGACAGTATAGAGTTTACAAACTTTTCAATGAAGAAATGGTTTTAAACACATGGCCATGTAGTATCAGTGCTTACCAATCTAAGGAATAGACATGTACCAGCTCTCAGCTGAAACCATATATCCATCTTGATAAGTGCTAACAGTTAAACTCCAAAATACCAGTCCAAACCTTCTCTTTTCTTCCCCTCAAATCTGCTTTCTTTTCCCCAACTATTAGTTAGGAGAGGCATAAAACAATGGCAATAGAACTAAATTCCAAAGAAGAAGGAAATCTGAATTTAGGACTTCCACAGGACAGCAATGTGCTTGGAGTTAAGGTGTCTTCTCCACCGTCAGCTCTCACAATGGTTACAAAGACTCCAATTTTCTTTTCTTTTCCTTTTTTTTTTTTTTTTTTTTGAGATGGAGTTTCACTCTTTTTGTCCAGGCTGGAGTGCAATGGTGTGAACTCGGCTCACCACAACCTCCGCCTCCCGGGTTCAAGCGATTCTCCTGCCTCAGCCTCCCGAGTAGCTGGGATTACAGGCATGCACCACCACTCCCAGCTAATTTTGTATTTTTAGCAAAGACTAGGTTTCTACATGTTGGTCAGGCTGGTCTTGAACTCCTGACCTCATGATCCACCCACCTTGTCCTCCCAAATAGCTGGGATTACAGGCATGAGCCACTGCGCCCAGCCTAGACTCCAATTTTCATAAGAAACTGTCCAACTTGCTGTGACAAGATACTAATCTGAAGACATCATGAGCTCATATATTACCTAATTATTTACAATTCAGGATTTGTTTGCATTTAATTCCTACCTGGCAAGGGATTCTTTTTTCCCTCCCTGCAAACCTACAGAGGTAGTTGGTTACTTGGAGAAGCAACAAATGCCTTTCTCAGATAGGAAGGTCAGTCCATCATTAGGCTGACAGGATTCAAACACACTAAAGATACTTACAGAACGCAGACTGGTTGTTGATGGAAAATGGATGTTTTGAGGATTGAAGTCTTTGAAGCTAGTTGAGCTAACAAAGGCAGAGATCACTTGGGAAAGGTCACAGAGCAATGAAATCATCTTTTTTGTGTCTTTCTTTTCCATTAGATTACATACTTCCTAAGAGCAGAGACCATGGGTCTTAGTTTTCTTTGTAGCTCCATCAGCTACAAAGAAAAGGTGCCTGGCATATAGGAGGTGCATATTGAATTATTTTCCCAACTAAAAAGACCTGGTTCTTGTTAAAGAGGAAACAAATCCATATATATTTTTAAAGAGACACTTAAATTTACTAAATTTACTAAAGACCAAGTGGTCTTAAAAGGCCAGGAAATACTCCTCTTTGAAGGGGCTGGTCTCATGAAGCTGGTCATACCCACTCAGTCAGCTCACTACACTCATTTTCCCAAACAAAACAGAAATAAAATGTGGGACCATGAGAAGATTCTGAATTCTCCAGGGTCTGAGCCAGGTAATTTAGGATTATTTACCTCTCTCATTCCATGCAGGATATTTGGAAAGAGAACACAGTCAACCCCTTTTAAAAACTACTAATATCACAAAGCGCAGCAAGAAAAACGATGACTACTAAGCTGTCACCTACCAAGTATATTTTGAAATTTCTAGATAGTTGCCAAAGAGGAAAAGCTAACACCAACAATGGCCAAAGTCACCTGCATCTTCTGTATATTCATTCTCAGCAAGACCTTTTGCTCCTAGGTGTACCTGGAGAACATCACCTTCTCCAGCAGCAGAGGAGAAGCTGCATTTGGTAAACTCAGCTATGGAGGTCAGTCATCCAGCACCAAGTACATAGAAGGTTAGAACCTCTTGTATCCCTGGATGGTGGGCATCTCCTCTGACCAGGCTTCAAGGCTGACATTCACCAGGGTTCCCTGCCACCCCCACCTTCACATTGGTCTTCTCATCCTTTATACTTCCTCTGAGCTACCTGATGCATTTACCACGGTTTGGTGATCATTCTCCCTGTCCCTGAGTGCTAGACTTGTATAAATAATAATAGATAATCTATTAGTCATCTTCACCCAAATTTCCAGCATTCAACAACAAATTATTTCTTGAGTGCCTAGAATGTACGAGGCTTGGGATACATCCAGGAACAAAGCCCAGATCCCTGCCCTCATGGAACTCCCACTCCAAGGACATGTTTGCTGAACTCAGCGTTCTCAAACAGAACCCACCAGCCTCCTGGCCCCTACTCCCCTGCTCTGTGCCTCTTCTGTTAACAGCATCACCATTTACCTACCAGCTTCTTTCCCACCTCACCCCTACTGGGTACTAAATCCTGCCAGGTTGACCTCTAATGAGCTCTCAAATCATGGACTCAGCTTTATGCCCTCATTCCAGCTGCTTCAGACCGCATTTGGTCTTATTGGCCCTCCTCCTTGAGACCCCTCCCCCTCAGCCCATTCACACGCTGCCAGCACAAAGGTTCTCTGAAACACAGATCTGAGCATATCACTCCCCTGCTATAACCATTTTCCATTGCTCAAAGGATTCCAAGCCCTCTGCCATCTGGCCCCACCTCTATTATCAGACTTACCTTCTACTACAACCTGAGTTCCAGTTATACCTCACTGAGACCCCCATTCACTCACTTCCTTGCCTCAGTCCTCCCTCCTTCTCCTGGCCTGCTAAGTCCTTACTCATCCTTTAAGGACCAGCCTAACTGACATCTCTTCTTGGAAGATTTCCTCTATTCAAGCAGGCAGTTAGTTGCTTTCTCCTGCAAGTCAATGATGATATTATACTGATCTGCTTTCTGCTTTGCCTCCTCCCCAGGCTGAGAATTCACTGAAATTCAGGATCATGCTGTCCGTGTTGAACTACCCCAGACACTCCCCAGCCCCACTAGCACTATGTCTGGCATGCAGGAGATGCTCAAACAAACAGCTGTTCATTTTGGGTAACCCTCTTACATTAGAGGTAAAAGCCTTTTGCTTACCAGTAAGGATTCTTAATTCACTAGCAAGAATTTTTCTAGGCACAGTAGGTATTAGATTAAATTTGGTAATCACTCACTTCGCTTCTGGAAGCAACAGCCCGGTGCAGTGGAGTCAGCCACATGTTGTCCTTGGCATTTACACGAGCTCCTGGAACCAAATAGCACAAGTTAGAGGCATAATGGAGTCAAGGGAAGCCCTGCTGACATTAAGTCAAATGCTGTATCTTGCTCACATTTGCCTGACATAACCACCACCTCTTCTTTTCTTTGTATTAGTCATGTTCTGACAAGATTTGATCAAGGCTGAGGGGACCAGCAGAAATCTGCTTTATCTAAAAATCTGGGACTAGCCAGATATGTTGGTAAAAAAGAAGCCAGTTTCCATGAGGCTTTTGGATAGATATGATATCAGGCCTATAAATTGCTCACTACTTTCTCAAACTATGGGGTAGGCAGACAGGCTCAAGCATGAGCCAAAACTAGCTCACACTCAGAATTATGAGTGCCCATGCTCAGCTCTATGAAGTCATGCCATCACCATGGAACAGAAGCTCCCTGCAAATGAATTCACAGGAAGCAGAGTTCACCCACCTTCCATGACACCCTTGCCATTCTCCATGAGCACCAGCCCACCAAGTCTATGTCTGAACAGCAAAGACATCTGATATAAGCGTCCTTTTAGGGGGTTCAGGGTTTTGACTAGTCTTCTGGTCAGACTTGGGATGTTTTATAAAAGGGCTACAAAAAGGGAGGAGGAGAAAATATGTATGACATCTCTGAAGAAGCAATAAGTCAATTCTAGCCTTAGGATGATGAGGAAGGAAGCTCCTGAGGACAGAGAATGGAGAAACAAATCAAAGAAACTAGAAAGTAAGGCAGAGAAAAGGAAACACAGAGGTGGCCCCTCAGGACAAGGGCTGAGAAAGTAAGTCAAGGGGAAGCAGAAGCTGACTAATCTCCAAGAGGCTAAGGCCAGCTGATAGCTGGAAAATAGAAACTTTTTAAAAGGCAGTGGACTTTCATGCATAAACGTGAGTTACAAGTTTAGTTTAAGGCACTGGCTAAAAGTAAATAAAAATCAAAGAACTTATACTATTCTTTTCTTTAACTGAAGAAGAACAAATGCCATCAACAGCATTAATCATAGAAAACAAGAACATAATCCCTAAAAGACAGCTAGAATGCCTCCCCTCCAACCTCCATTTTGATGTCACTGGTTTCAGATGGGGTCAGGTACAAGGGTTATCACACTATGCTGTCAAGGTTGAGAGCCACTGATGAATTGTTGCTTAATTTATCCAGGTTAAAATTATTTAAATCCTAATTCCACTAACACCAGCTTGCCTGAAGGAGTTCAAACTCCTTACGTCAGTAAGGCCCACAGTAAAATCAGTTTGGGTGTGCAAAAATCAATAGGCATCTCTGGCCTCAGTAACAGGAAGCTGTGGGCTAAATGCTCTGGCATGAAATGAATGCGGTTTTGGAAGGACAGTGGGATTCATGGTCAGGAGATGTAGATTAAGTTCTGATTTCAGCACCTGCTGGCCCAATGACCAAGAGTCACTAATCTGCACAATGAGGCTAACAACAACAGTATTAACACTTCTCTATCCATTTCACCAGGTGCTAAGGAGAATTAAGTGAATAGGAAAGTGCTCCGTAAATTGCAAGGCACTAGAAAAACATCAGCTGTTCTTATTTCCAAATCACCTCTAATGTCTCATTCACCTCTAAATCTATGATTCAGATTTTCAAAGGAAGTGAAAGGCATGATCCTTGCCCTACAAAGGAAGAAGTCAAATAGGAAATTTAAGAACACAACCATCACCTAAAGACTGTACAAATACATGTCTTTTTAAGACATGTATTTTTAAGAGCAAGAGAATTCAAGTGCTAGAGAATGCTAGGGAGAAGAAAATCCAGATGTGATTAAGAACAGCAAAATTGGTTAATTTTAAAACAAAATTACCACTACCAAAACCAAAGTTTAGATTTCTTCTTCTAAATATTAGTTTCAACACAGTGTCAGGTGATAGTCACAAAGTCTACCTTTCTGGTTTAGAAACACAGCATTTAACCCTTCAGATCTTCCAACACTCTGGATTCCAACCTTTTAAAATTACCTGCCTTTTGGTCAGGACTTTTCTTGCATCATAAATAAATATATTTATGACCACATTGTGTGGTAGATTTGACCACACTGTGTTTCTGTCTAGTAAGCTGAGTGCACATTTATTTCTTATTTTGGGGCTGTTTCTTTGGCACCCATGTCACAAACATCACTCAGACCTTATGCGTCCTAGAGAGCTGGAATTATTTTTATTATGGTCTTTGGCAGAGTAAATTTTGTGCTTTAAATTTTTTGTAAATTCAAAAAATGATTGCAAGAAGAAACCCAAATGTGAAGACACATATGGAAAGGTACTTCTCAAAATTCGTTAGGGAGAAGCAAATAAAAGCAGCATTAGCATACCATTTCACATCCATTAAATTGGTAAAAATAATAAAGTGCGACAAGGCCAAGATTTAGCAAGGGTATGGAGCAACGGGAAAACTTAACATACAGTTGGGAAGAGTATGAATTGGTACAACCTCCTTTGGGACACAATGTGGCATTACCTAGTAAAGCTGATGACATGCATGCCCAACTACCTAGCAATTCCACCCCAATCATATACCCTAGAGAAACTCTCACACATGTACATGAATGTTCACTGCAACATGTTGATGACAACAAGAAATTGGAATCCTAAATGTCAATTAAGAGGAAAATGGATAAAGACGTTGTGGTACATCTGTACAATGGAATTCTACACTGTCATGGAAAGGAGCAGACTGACGTTCTGTATATGTAAACAGATGTACTTTTAAAATCATAACACCGAATGAACAAATCAAGCTGCAGAATTATACCTATGGCATAACACCAGTTGTATGTCTATATGTTGTTTATGGATGCATAGACACAAAAGTTTAAAATATGGCTAAGGAGTATAAATACTAATTCTGGATAGTGGTTGCGTCTAGGGAAAGAGGGATGTGAAAAGAATGAAGTAAGAGTACCCATACAGCTGCAACTGTGTTTTCAATGTTTAATTTCCTTAAATATATATATAATATATATATACACACACATAAATATATATAATACAAATATGGCAAAATATTAAGAGTTCTTAAAACTTAGTGGAAGGTATAGGGATATTCACTATATTATTCTCCATAGTTTTCTGTATGTTTGAAATATTTTCTACAAAATATTTTTAAGAAAGCTAGTGCATTTGAAGTTTTATGTTTCTCAATGAAAATAATGGGGGAGGGGGAACTAAGCTGCTTTTGTGTGTGTGAAACGGAGTCTTGCTCTGTCACCCAGGCTGGAGTGCAGTGGTGCGATCTCGGCTCACTGCAACCTCCGCCTCCCCAGTTCAAGCGATTCTCCCACCTCAGCCTCCCAAGTAGGTGGGATTACAGGTACCTGCCACCATGCCCCGCTAATTTTTTAATTTTTTAGTACAGACAGGGTTTTGCCATTTTGGCCAGGGTAGTCTTGAACTCCTGACCTCAGGTGATCTGCCTGCCTTGGGTGCAGGTATTTGTTTAGGATAAATAATTTAAAATGGACTTTATGTGTCATAGATAATACACACTTTCGGTTTCAAAAGGTCATGTAAAGCCTCTAAAGTGTGCCGGTTTACACCCTCGGAATGTATGAGATTGCTTAGTTTCCCCACATCCTCATCAACACTTGATATTATCAGACATTAAAATATATTTTTTTAAATTTTTTAGAGACAGGGTCTCACTCTGCCACTCAGGCTGGAGTGTAGTGGCATTATCATAGCTCACTGCAGCCTTAAGACTCCTGGGCTCAAGCAATCCTCCTGCCTCAGCCTCCAGAGTAGCTACGACTGCAGGCACATACCACCATGCCCAGCTAATTTTTTAAATTTTTTTGTAGAGATGAGGTCTTTCTTTGTTTCCCAGGCTGGTCTCAAACTTCTGCCCTCAAGTGATCCTCCTACTTCAGCCTCCTAATGTGCTGAGATTACAGGTGTGAGCCACCAGGCCCAGTCAGACATTTTAAATATTGCAAATCTGAGTCAATAATACTGTATCATGCACTTAAACATTTGTTAAGAGGATAGATCTCATGTTAAGTGTTCTTACCACACACACTTCCCAAAAAACTCCAAAATAACAAGAACAAAGGGGCACAAGGAAACTTTTGGAGGTGACAGAGATGTCTATTACCTTGATTGTGGTGATAATTGCATGGGTATTTGCATATGTCCAAACTCATCAAGTTGTAGATATTAAATATACGCAGCTTATTGTATTTCAATTATACTTCAATAAAGCCACTTTAAAAATAAATAGGCCGAGCTTGGTGGCTCATGCCTATAATCCCAGCACTTTTGGGAGGCCGAGGTGGATGGAACACCTGAGCTCAGGAGTTCGAGACCAACCTGGTCAACTGGTGAAACCCCGTCTCTACTAAAGATACAAAAATTAGCCTGGCGTGGTGGCACACGCCTGTAATCCCAGCTACTCAAAAGGCTGAGGCAGAAGAATCGCTTGAACCTGGGAGGTGGAAGTTGCAGTGAGCCGAGATCACACCACTGCGCTCCAGCCTGGGCAACAGAGCAAGACTCTGTCTCAAATACATACATACATACATACATATATACAAATCTGATTTTAAAAAGAGCATCTTTTTTTTTAGTTTCTGGTCTAACAATAAGGTTAGACATCTTCTAATATGTTTGATTACTAGCCATTTGTAATTCATTTTCTGAGAATTACTTGTTCATATTCTTTATATATTTCTCCCATTTTTCCGTTATTTTTCTTATTTATATTTATATCCTTTTATCATTATTATTATTATACTGCATTCTGAAAATTTTTAGTTTTATGCAGATCCAAATTTGGCTTTCAATATTAAAAATCTCTCAAGGAGAAAAATGATACCACGCAGGCTGAACCTCATACAGTGACACACACCTGGAGTGTAACGACACCAGCATTGTTAGCGTGTCGCTTCAGAGTCCCTTGAGAAATTTCAAGGTGATTAGAAATGTAGGCAATGGCTTCTTTCAGTCAATGATTAAGTCCTCCATTCCTCCACTTCTCCTTCTCATGGAGGTTGAATAGGCAGCTGCCAGGAAAACCTCCTTTCCCCCATAACAAAAATTATTATAACAAAAGCGGAGTTATCTGAATGGAGACCCAAGAAGCATTTCATCAGTGTCATTTCTTGCTGCCGGCTTCCTCATCCTCTTCCTCTGAACACGTTCAAGAGTCTTGTTTACATGTCAGAGGGAGATGTCAGATGGTTTTGGCTATGAATTGAATATTTATAGCTGATTTTTTTCTAAAGGAAGCTTCACATTATTTACCTGCCTGTCAGGCACCATTGTGCACCGAAGGACACAGTCTGCATGTCTAATGATTTAAAGGCAAATGCTTTTTTACCCAAGGACATGTTAAAGCTTAAACATGAAAATAAGCGCTAGGGTATACTGATTCTTTAGAAACAAAGGCCCAATCCATCAGACATGATCTGTAATTACAAACTAAGGATGTTCTTCATCTTATCCCTATTACCTCTTAATTTTATTTTCATAGAGATCAGGGGTAAAGTAAACTCTGGGCATCTTTTCCAGAGGCAATATTTCTGTTCTGTAAGCCATGTCGTCTAGGAAGAAGTAGAATAAAGAAAACAGAAGTGGTGTGATAAGGGTGGACTGAGTGTGACTGAAAAATCTCACACGCCAAAGAGAATAATTTATTCCTAAGCTTAACTTATCCAAAGTTTGGCTTTTAATTGTTGAAGTAAACATGAAAGGTTATAAAAATATGATTATAATATAATGAAATCAACTTGCTATTGATTTTTTTTAACAAACCAAATCATACAGTACAGGAGTGCTTCAAAACAATTACCTTAGAAGAGGGTATGATAATTCCATGAACGTGGCAATTGCTGAAAACATTTAACAAACTGTCCTTGGAGTTGCCTTTATGGCCAATTTGCACACCCATCAGAAAATGGCTTATTACTTTATAATTGCACCACATTCGTAGGCCAAAATCAGCATTGCCTGGTTTAATCACCCCTCTTTCACCAGATAAAAAATATCAAATTCATCCTCAAAGGATGAATATTTGTTATGCATAAGGAATAAAAAGAATGATGTGCCCCCAGCCCTGGAAATAATTTGCATTGAGAGTAATAAGCACGTTCTGAAAATGTATAGGAAATAATTTTGCAGGACTACCACTTGTTGGGTTGCATAAATTCTATGGCCAGATGTGGTGGCTCATGCCTGTAATCCCAGCACTTCAAGAGGCCAAGATGGGAGGATCACTTGAGGCCAGGAGTTCGAGACCAGTCTGAACAACCTAGCAAGATCCCATCTTAAAAAAAAGTAAATTAAATTAAAACTTAAAAATAAATTCTAATAAATTTTACTTAGTAGTTATGCCTCACAAACACTCCCGTATTAGAGAGTACTTCCAGTTTTCTTCTTTCAACCCAGAACCCTATAATCCTTACTTGTCCTCAGAGTTTTCTCTGCAGGATCTTTTTTTTTTTTTTTTTTTTTTTTGAGATGGAGTCTTACTTTGTCACCCAGGCTGGAGCACAGTGGTGCAATCTCAGCTCACTGCAACCTCCACCTATAAGGCTCAAGCGATTCTCCTGCCTCAGCCTCCTGAGTAGCTGGGATTACAGGCACCTACCACCACGTTCAGCTACTTTTTTAAATTTTAGTAGAGATAGGTTTCATGGCCAGGCTGGTCTTGAACTCCTGACCTCAAGTGATCCTCCCACCTCAGCTTCCCAAAGTGCTGGGATTACAGGCTTGAGCCATCACACCCAGCCTTTGTAAGATATTTCTACTGTGGTCCTTTTTCTGTGTACTCTGCTTCCTATATCCCAACCCCAGTATCTTAACTCTCAGCCACTGATTGGTTCTCACTGATCTCTCTGACTTAATCCAGATTCGGCCAGTTCCCAATCAGACACTAGAGTCAGGAGGGAAATAAAGCCACACTTTGAACTGGGAGTTGTAAGAAAGTGAAATTTGCAAGGCCTGAATTCTTCCCCAAGACCTTGTCTTCCCCGTCTGCTCAGAGGTATTCAGGGTTCCATCCACCTGGCTAACAGGAGATAATGCCAGCAGGATTACACCATGCTCTGTAGGTTAATACAATAGAGAACACAGCTGTAATGGGCTGTTCTGGCAAGGCCAAATTATTTGTCCAACAAGGGAATCATTAGCACCTCATTCATTATTAAATTGGGAAACAGTTTGGTTGGATTCCCTAAAGGGTCAGCTGCCAGATACAAGCTCAGAGATAAAATCATCGTGCTCTTGCAATATTAGGAACTTAATATATAAATTGAGTAAAGGACCTTTCAGGGAAAATAAAAGCCATGTGAATTCCAAGAGTTTGCCTCAGCTTCCACAAGTAAATAAAATTGCTAAAAAGGGAAAACTTTCCCAATGCTCCTCATGTCCTAAGTCTTCCTAATTTGATGAGAGGGAGGAGGAAATTTTCCATAGCACATTGAACCGAAATTATGCTAAAGACATTAAGAGCTCAGAAATTCCAAGACCAAACAAGTGAATAGATTAATATATATGCAACAGCTTTTCCCAGTTCTACTAAATCAGCCAGAGTTGAAGAGAGGCTCCTGGATTCCATGCCCATGTGAAGGTGATGTGAAACCATGTTTGTCAAACAATCACTGGCCCCAGATACATGAAAGAAAGAGATTGGGTTGACTTCATGCTGCAGAATTAAAATCTTCCCTTTCAGATGCAGAAACAACAACAACACAAAGTTGGCATGTAAGACAAAGTTCTGAATTTGTACATTCATGAAACATTCCTCTGAGACTCTGAGAGGTCTATTAATACAATATTTAAGAGGTGGGTAGGCTGGGCATGGTGGCTCATGCCTGTAATCCCAGCACTTTGGGAGGCCAAGGCAGGCAGATCACGAGGTCAGGAGACTGAGACTATCCTGGCTAACATGATGAAACCCCGTCTCTACTAAAAATACAAACAATTAGCCAGGCGTGGTGGCACACGCCTGTGGTCCCAGCTACTCGGGAGGCTGAGGCAGAATCACTTGAAACCAGGAGGCAGAGGTTGCAGTGAGCCGAGATCACGCCACTGCACTCCAGCCTGGGCTACAGAGCAAGACTCTGTCTCAAAAATAAATAAATTAATAAAATAAAATTAAAAAGAGGTGGGTATAGCCCATGGGGATCATTAGATGTTATACCACAAAGTTCTTTATTTTATACCTCCACTGATTCTGCCTACAATTTCCCTCGGGCCAAATTGCAAATGCCAGGGCAACCAGCCAGGTGTGCACTGACCCTTAGTGTGTGCCAACACCAAACAATACACGTTTGTTTGGAACATGGTCCTAGGGCATCTTTAGATTTGTTGGAAGAAAGACCTGCTCTCAAAAGCACAAGAAATGCCATGTGAAATCTAACCTAAGCTCCATGTGACCATCAGGAGCGCGGGGCACACATGTTTTGAGGCACAGAACACTTGTTTCCTGGGGAAACCCACCTCAAGAACATGAACACAACAAAATAAGGGCCATGTTGCTTATGCATCACAGCACAATTCTTGTTTCTTGTCCACAGTGTTCACCACATCTGCTTGAATGCATGTCTCAGCTCCTACCTCTGCAGAGCTTACTTTAGGATGCCACAGTTCCCCTTTACTGGCGAAACCTTACTAGAGGCCTTTTGACTAGTCCGTAGGCAGAGGCACTTCCTCTAGATGTTAATCTCCCAAACATAAAGGAGGAGGAAGAAAGACAGCCTGTCTGTGAATAATCTACAGTGAGACATCTGCACATGCTCAATTCATTCCAGGATTTGTCTAGTAAACACTCAAGGGAGAAAGCACATAATGGTTTTGGAAACCTGTTTGGTGACATATACTGAGCATATAGGTTTCCAAAAATGAAACCACTGGCATTTTTAAATCTGATGAAATATTTAAAATACATTGAAAAATAAAGACAACAGTTATCACAAAGACCAGTATAAACACAAATCAGATTTAAATGTTTGCCATACTCCCTTCCAATATTTTAAACATAAAATATTTTACAGAGAGTTGTAGTAGTTCTTTTATAGCCTTCCCTGAAGACATTTTTTACTCAACCTGCCTACTTAGAGGTAACCACTATCCAGAAATCAATATGGTCCCTTGCCTTCCATGTTTTTATGCTTTCATTACATAGTCATAGTCATGTATCCATAAATATAACAGCATTGTTTTGTAGCCCAACTTAAATATATGTAAATATACAAACACATTTAATTGGCATATAAATCTAGGGTGTGCATATATATATGGCATATATACAGTGTGCATATATTATAGCATATATAGTGTATACATGCTATACATAGTGTTTATATAGCATGTATATATAGCATAGTGTATACATGCTATACATAGTGCTTATGTAGCATGTTTATGTAGTGTGTATATATATTCACTATATATAGTGTGTATAGGTGTATGTTCATGTAGACTTCAAACTAGTTTTATTTCCTTTTTTATAATTAAAAAAATCAAAATATATCCTAATGTACTGAATTCATCTACAACGCTGGGCCTGACTAGACAGCCAGGAAACAGACTTTCAAAGCAAGATAAAAATGTTACTGGATAAGTCATTTTTCAGTAAGAACAACTTCTTGCATTTTTCTTTGTGTAAAGATAAAATCGCTTATCAAACAAACTTCCATGAACATAACAAAGGAATTTTGCTTGGGTTCACGGTAGTAGTCAATCTAGTAAATTGGTTATTTAAATTTTATTTGCAATTGACATTTGAATATAGTGGTTATTTACCTGACAAAATCAGGAGTTCAATGATCTCTGCATCTCCCAGAAATGCGGCCACATGAAGAGGGGTTCGTTTCTCAGAATCCTGAAATACACAATGTCAAAGACATACAACAGGTCAGTGGCAGCTGGGTCCCTTTTGAAGACATAGTAAGACGTGTCACTCACTCTGTGGTTAATGCATGTGGAAGAGCGTGAACACCAAACATTCGAGTAATTTCTGGTTATGCATTTGCTCTCAACATACCCTATAGTTACATATAACAAAGGATTCCATTTTCTGTGTCTGTGCTTGGTATTTGCCCACTTGCTCCTTTTACTGAGGCCCAGCTGAGGTCAAAGATAGACCATTATGCACTGGATGATGAATTTCAACTTACAGTATTTCCAAACCTTCAGGATGGTTAAAAAAAAAATCTAACCTACCATAACAACATAGTTCAAAGCTTTCAATGACTTATTTTCTTTCTAAGGAAACATAGTGGAATGGTTCACAAGGACATTAAACATAAGTGCTGTCATTTTCTCCTTTCTATGCTTGTTAATTGTTGTTTGGACCACTGCCCATTCACAAAATACTTATTGAATGCTTACTCTGTGCCTGGAACCAAATTCTGGGGACAGAGAGATGAATACAATAGGCCTGGTCCCTGCCCTCATGAAACTCACATTCAAGTGGGGAGGCTGACATTAGTATACTAGACAATAGTATAGCAGGCAATAGTATACTAGACACACATGAGATTACTTCAGGTAGTGATAAAGGCTATGACAAAATTAAAACACAGTATGGGATTAAGTGATTCAGGAGATGGTAGTAAGAGTGGTCAGTGAGGCCTTTCTGAGGATGTTGACATTAAGGCTGAGAGCTAAGGTTGATATTATCTCTGTTTCATGTATAAGAAGACTATAGCTCAAATTTTAAAATTTCCTCAAGATTCCACTGGCATATAGCATAGTCAAGATCTGACCTTCACCCAGCAGACTTCAGTCTGTGTCTTTGGCAAGGTACTGAACAGATTGTGCTGAGAGGCAGCATGGTAACATGCAAGGGAAAAAAGCATTGCTTCCTCATCTGTAAATCGGCGATAATAAAATCTACCTTAGAGGACTGATAAGAGGACTAAAGATCATATAAGTAAATAAAGCCCTAGGCAAACAGGAGATAAGTGCACAGCAGTGCTCCATACGAAGCCCGTTACTGTCATTGGCATAGAGAGTTGTGTGATATCTTTCCTCCAAGACTGAAAACCCTGGAGTAAAGAACTGGCCTCACTCTTCTTTATCCCCATAGTATCAGCATACTTGGTGCTCAGCATAAATTGGCTGAACTAACCAGTCTACATGTATGGCTTCTTCCACTAATTTCCATTGACTCCTCCATAGCAATGGTAACCAAAGCCCATCTGCTATGTCTTTAAGGTTTCTCCTAAAACTAGCATGTATGTTAGTTTCAAGTTTCTTGGATTCCCTGTTGATTTTAATCATTATTCCTTTCATGATTTGATTATATAATATATCTAACAATCCTTGATTAGCCTAAGGATATTATTCCATTTTCTGACAATCCAGACCCTCTGCTCTTCCTCTGTCTCTCACAGATTATTGCTCTTAGACATTTCATGACTCACTAATATCTAAAACAGATGGCAGGCAGGGGATACAACAAGAATTGATCTTCAAACCAGTCTATTTGTTAGAAAGTCTGGTAAGTAGGTTTTATAAAGAATGTACTACCATTAAGTAGACAAAAAGGAGTTTGGATTCACTGGAAACTTGTGTTATCTGTGTACGGCTGCAGGCAATTACTATGGAAAAGTGAAAATAGGGCAGTCACGCAACTATAAAATAATGGTATGCATTGGAAAATTCAGTACGATACATGACTACAATCAACCTTGTTATAGATATATCACCCTATCTTTGAAAATAAAGATTCAGTATTTGAAATCATGTTAACTTATTTGAGAATCAAGTATATTAATTTGTGCAATGAACTATATAAGCTGAGAACAGATTTTCATAAATGTTTTCTATTTCTATTGATATCCTTCGATGTATTTTCCATTTTAGCCTCATGTTCCCTTTGAATCCTCACTATATGTACTTAAAATTTTCTACTGGGATTTTTGGATAAAAGCTGTGTAATTATATGTTCTTTTGTGAACTGAATTGGTTTCAGGGTTTGGTTCAATAAATCAAACCCTGCCTAAGTGATTTAAACAGGGACTATTCCAACCCAAATTATGACTTCATTTGACCTGAAGCAAAGGCAACTCTGTTTGAGATCTTGGCCTCAAATAAAAAGCTAAGAAAACTCCAACATCCCTCCCTACCTTGCAAATCTGGTGGGCCTGTCATGATATGACTGGTTTTGCTGATTCCATGGCCCCTTTTATGACACAGCTTGTTCAAACCAAAGTTTCTATAACATAAAAAGGGTGTGTTGCATGAACACTGTAAAAATTCTTGATGATGAATCCCAGTGTTCCTGTTAATATGTGTCTAAAGGTTTCTGGTAGTTTCCAGGACAACTACGTGAATTGATATTCTCCTTTAGTGACATGGCACAGACAGGTAACTGCAGAGAAGACTTGTATTCAGGCAGTACTCCTGTTGTTCTCCAAAGCAGCAGAAATATAGAAACAATCACATGTGCTATTAAGACCTTAACCAACATAATAGTGCATTTCCACTACTGACCAAGGGTTGCTAACGCCTTCTCTTCTAACAAGGAACACCTGATCATGAGTCAAAGCGAGAATGACCAAGCCACAGTAATCACCATGCTGGATAGAGAGAAATCAGCCAGGAGGTAGCAGTATGTCCTCTGCCTAGGTAGAAGGCCACTCTACTTTGCCATAAGCTAAACTAATGGAGTAGGAGATGCAATAATAGAAGGAGGGTGAAGGCTCTGGAGAAAAGAGAATAGTAGTAATAATACTGGTTAAAATGGGTTCTAGCCCAATGACATCCTTAGAGTGTCTAGAAGAAGAAACAAATCTAGCTGGTTATTATGAAGTGCTTTTATTTTTATTTTTTCCAAATACCTGCCCAACTATTCTACTACTCCATCTCAAAACATTCCTATCAGGAGAGTCACACCTTTTACAACTGTGTTCTTAAGTCTTATTATCACCATTTAAAAGATAAAGAATCTGAGCCTAGGACAGTTTGTATGACTTAACCCAACGCAGCAAACTGATGTCAAAGAGTTAGGTGTCCTGGTTCTCAACCTGAAACTTTTTTCTTTATAAAAATGAAAGCAGGCTGGGCGCAGGGGCTCACGCCTGTAATCCCAGCACTTTGGGAGGCTGAGGTGGGCGGATCGTGAGTTCAGCAGATTGAGACCATCCTGGCTAACATGGTGAAACTCCGTCTCTACTAAAAATAAAAAAAATTAGCTGGGCGTGGTGGCAGGTGCCTGTAGTCCCAGCTACTCGGGAGGCTGAGGCAAGAGAATGGCGTGAACCCAGGAGGTGGAGCTTGCAGCGAGCCAAGATCGCACCACTGCACTCCAGCCTGGGCGACAGAGCAAGACTCCGTCTCAAAAAAAAAAAGAAAGCAAGAACAACATCTTAGAAGTTCATGTGATAGTCTATAAATCTTTCTACTACGATCCCTAAGAAATCATGAGAAAAATGTGACAAACACACAGTAAACATCGTTTGAAATGAACTTAGAAGAAATTAAATAGAAAGGGGCCAGAAATGGGCGGGGGAGGCGGTAAATAGAGAACCAAAGCTGGAAGCACATGAACTTATAGTGCAGGGATAGGTCAATACACCAGGCACGTGGGGCTTAACACTTGCAGGCAGTGGGAGATAAGGCAGAGAACTAGAACTGCAACCTCCAACTAAAGAAAGACCCTTGAAGTGGCCTTGAAGAAAGACTCCTGAAGTGAAATGGTGGACTTGGAAAAAAACAATGACAAACACTCACGTAGGCAGATGGCAAAGAGATGCCTTGTCCTATCCTAGGTTCTTGGTAGTGGAATAAAAATGTTTCCACTGAGCATCCACATCCCCAGAGTCTGCCCTCATGTGGTTTAGAGCTTTGAATTCACATTGCCTGTATAGTCTAGGAATTTACTTTTTTTTTTCTCCAGGAACTTTCAAGTTGAAATATGCACAAAAAAATGGGTTTCAGACCAATGATACCCCTAAGGTCCCTAGAAGAAGAAACAAAACCTAGCTGGATAGATATGCCCTCAATCCAGTCAACCTGAGACACCCACCGATTAAATCTCCGTTGAAAATGAACTCACAAGCCTAAGCCATAAGATTCGTGGAACTGTTCACCATAAGCAAGAGTCAGAAGACTGAAGAACCAGCAAGAACTTGAGATCACAGAAGAATGAGATGAAGAACAAAGATGACATTTAAATTAACTTAAGACACAAAGGACAAAGTGTAAGGGGGGAAACCCCCACTATTTTTGAAAAACAAACAAAATTTGGAGGAAGAGAAAATGAAGCAAGTATTATGGAAAGCAGTACCACAACATGATGCTAGATAGCATCTAAAATTTTGGTCTAAGAGGGATCAAAACTCAAAGAGTAAAAAAAGAAAGGGGAGGAGAAAGGAAAAATAAGCACAGGAACTTTGGGGTATGTTTTACAATCATTTATTCAGCCATATTATCTAGACATAGATATTTATTTAGAATCTATTATATGCCAGACATTGAGGTACACATTAGGGATACAAAATTTAAAATATCTAGCCCTCTCACCCTAAAGAAACTTGCAGTCCACTGATCGGTTTCTAAATGTAGGACATTAGAATAAAAACAAGAGCAGGGAAGTGGCAAATAGTGATATCCATGATGTTAAATGATTTGTGAACGTATCAAATGCAATGAGACAAAAATATCTCAGTGAATACTTCCCCCAAATCCCTCCATATCCAAACTGGCCTGGGCAGTAAGTCTTAACTGACAAGAAAAAAAAAAAGAAATCTCTTCTGAATTGGGAATTCAACACATCTTGCCCAGAACTCCCTAAAGGTCCTATTGGTTCCAGCTTATCTGGGAATCTTGGAAGCCCTCAAGGGCCAGCCTTCTGGGTCAGTCAGAGAGTCTAGC